GCATAAAGTAACACCAACTTGTGATACTGAGCACTTAGTTTAGTGATTTAGCAGTTACGGCTCCTCATTGTTAAAATAAGAGGGAAGGGGAGAAGACGGCGCATTTGAGTAAAAGATAAGACCCAACCAAGGGCTTATCTACCGAGACCATGCGACAACAAAAGCACAAAAGGATGCAGACTGGAGGAGGCTCCTTGAAGCTCCCTCTCAGCTGGACTGAGATCCCTGAACCGTCTGTGACCATCGACTTGATCCTTATCGACAGGTCGTATTACCCTCCTTGTGTATGTAGTTGTGTCGTGTTATGTGTTACTATTTCGTGAACCTGTACGCTTGCTTAAGGATTCTGGCTCTCATGATAAACTGTCGCCATGTAGTACCCACCTGACTGTGGAGTCCGAGTAGTGGTCGTTTTCCCCCCCCTTCTTTTGGTACTATACGGTGCATGACACACGGGGCAGAGCCGGACACCAGCGCTTCCCCTCAGTCTATTTTTGGCTGCTTCTTTCTGCCTCCCTACTCCAAAATCCCGGTGGTTCCTCCAGGGCCGGGTATCCCCCACCCGCGGGTACGCCGTGCCTGGCCCAGCTGGGGGAACAAGCAGCACCCCATTTCCCCTCCTGACTCTGGGAGGGCTGGGGGACACTGAGGTCGCCCTGGGGGTCCCCTCGGGGAGAAAGGAAGGACACGCCATGGGGAAGCACCCTCCCGGCTCATCGCTGTGCGAGGAAATGGGAGCGGGCGCTTTCCCCCCAGGGCACCCATGGCCGATGTCCCTGGAGACTGCGGAGGGTTTGCACCCCAGATGAGCCCCAAGCACAGCTCTGGGTGCCCCCACCTGCCGCCTCCCGCTCCCCCTGCACCAGGCAGCCTCTCGGGCAGCCAGAGCAGCCCACCCTGGCCCCCAGCCCAGCCCGCCTCACACGTGAGGGGGCTCAGCCGGGGTGTTGGGGGGCCAGAGAAGCCTGAGGAAAGCCCTGCTCTCCGGTGGAGCACCCCGGGGACTCACCGCTCGCTGCCCTCACTGGCCCGTCAACTCTGGGGTCTTCTCCCTGTCCCAAGCCGGTTCTCAGCGGGGAGCACCCGGGCACGGGGCAAATCCAGGTGTCACCCCCAAAGGGCTCCGG